CGCCGAGAAGTCCGTATTTAGCTTCACCGAGGGCACCATATCACCCATCAGCTGAGTGAAGACCTTGAGAACATCTGTAAAGGATGTTAACAAAACAAGGCTTTTGCAAACTACGAGACTGAACTGGACGCTCTCACCTTGCAACGGCAATCGCCCTAACATAACAAATTCATTGCTGTCCATCATCATGCGGTTACGTTGTACCTTAATGGCATGCTTATTGAGATGCCGATTTTCTCTGACTCATTAAAATTCATTTTTACGGCACTCTCATAGAAAACAAAAACGTGGCTGATTCTTCTCTTCGGGAATCGGTATAACACGAAAGTGACACATGTCTTCACGGAAACTTCTATGCGTTTTTTGCGCATCCACACAGAAAAAGGCAAGCAGCTGGAACATTGCAGCGCACTCCTCAAGCAGAAATCACGAAATGAGCATACACAGCACGAGCAGGGACTGACAGCTGTCAGCGCTCGTGATTTAAAGCACGCTGCTCAAAAAGAAAGACGCACGAAACAAACGCACGAGTATACACAAGACGTGCGCGACCAACTTTCACATCTTTTACTGCATCGTGTGTGAGCAGCGTGCTCCTTTTGTAAACGCGGCCGCGGCAGCGAGCGAATTGACCTTCGCGCTCTCCCGAATCACGAATCTGATAAGCGCACGTGCAGGAGAGGTCATAAACCCCGTGGAGGGGCGCGCTCACCGAAACGCGGGAGGCGACGCGAGCCCTTCGTGCCATCTCGCTACTGGTGACAAACCCGCACAGAAATTGCTGAGCTCCGAGTACCGCCAAATAATGTGTGGCGTATCTAAATAGTTTGCCGTTAGCAAGCTGAACAACGCACGCTCCGTGGTTGAGGGGTTTCGTGCCGTGCGCTGCGAAGAGAGAGGTCATAGGTTCGACGCCCGGCAACGAAACGTCTTGTTCTCGTGTATGTATCCGTAATCCTTATAGCATATACTTTAAACAACTTTTCCATGAAGAAGATGCATTAGAGTGAGCGATACCATAATCAGCCGCGAGCAGCCATACTATAGTATAGTCTATACTATAGTACATAGTATGGTCCATACTATACTATAGTATAGCTATACTATAGTATAGTCCATAATATAGTATAGGCCATACTATAGTCCGAGACTATAGTCTCGGACCCCACTGTCAATGTAAGTTGTGGCCGAATATAGTGATGAGTACACTGTAAAAAGAGCCAAGCTGGTGACATTCCCCTCTTTCTTTGCTTATGCCTCACCATCACTACCGTTTCCCAATACTTTGCTACACTATACTATACAAAGATAATACTTCACTAGTAATGCGTTACGTTCCGTTCAACTGCGCAGTGTTCGCACCAACAAGACGAGCATTCTTCCTTCCTAAAAGTATAAAACAGACCAATATTTCGTCTAGTGTTTCCAAAATCGAATGTATATAAAACCCAATTAAATGTTTTTCTGAGGCTATATGAGAAAAAAATTTTACTCACTACTGCACTCAGCTTCTCCTTGATTTAGGCGTAATATACACAATTCATGGCATCGCTTAATTTTTTTGTGCTTCTCAGTTGGCACGTCTTTTGTTTGAATATTCCTCATTTGAATGTTTTAATTCTAGCAGATTATATGCAACAGTGAACACTATGCTCATGCATCTGCATGCAATACAATTGGATAGAGCTCACACTAGCTATAGACTTATTACTTCTCAAATGTTCGGGTTGCCAAGACGTTTCTTATACGGTTTTTATAACGGGAGTTCATTTTTTTGTTTATATTGTCACGGGGGTGAGAGAATATGTATGTCGTTCGATCGTCATTTGACACATGAAATCAGTAGACTAATCCTGATTATTAAATAACCTCGGTATCTAGCCTGTGAATTTGGGAACGTGCGAGCATTCCGCAGTTAATATTCTGCCAAATCGTGTAATCGCACGCTGAGGCTAATATTTGCCGGGCGATATTTTCCTTCTTTGAATGCGTCGTATGCCAGAAATCAATACATTTGTCATGGCCTAAGTATATTCTTGCCTCGTTGACAAGGAAAGTAATTGTGATTGATCTTTAGTATTTAGGTTTTATCCTTTCTCCACTCCACCCCGACCTGCACTCTGACGTCTTCGACTCCCTCTCATATATAGATGAGATTCAATCGTTACATCCCATAATCGATCAGCAACACCCGGTGTTCATCTTTTTATGCGGTGGTCGCATGGTACATGAGACTGCTGTTGGAACATGAACATCATCACAGATCGCGACGGCCGACCGCTCCTTTGCGAACGTTCTCACAGAGATAGTGAGGTTGTTGGAGGAAAAGTAAAAATAAATTTGCGCTGGTGCCAGCGTTCACACGAGAAAGAAAAGACGTGACGCTGGCAGCCATGAACTGTCCTTGCATCGTTCATGCGATGCGCGATGCCGATGATTCGATGAAAGGCGGCGCCATTGTGTGGTGCGCCTCTCATCGCTGGATGAGTGGCGCACGAAACACTGGTGCGCACGAAAACACACGATTTCGTCTATACGTGAGAAGAGTGTTAAAAAAATAAAGAATTCCGCTGGCAATATCTTCTTGCGGAGCTTTCAAATTTTACTTCAGACACCGGCAGAATTGTAACTGAGTAAAATGGGGTGAATAAGGATGCAGTGCGAACATCAAATGTAAGTGAGTATACTTTAAATGCATATAAATTGCCTATTTAGAATCACCATGAAAACCACCAGTTTATGAAGCCGAGGAAAGCATAGAGAACGTTATTTTAATGTTTTATGTGTATTGTAATCATTTTGATAAAAAGTGAAGCAATTAAATTAGACGAAAAGACAAGATCCGAGGTTCGCGGGTTCGGTGCCCGCCAGTGACAAGTTGTCTTTTCATCGATTTCACTTTTTTCACGTATGTATCTCAATTACTACAATACACATAGAAAAGTACAGGCAACGTCCCCTATACCTTGATTGGCTTCTTAGTATTGCCGTCTTATAGTTATGTCATACAAATAAGCGATCCGTCAAAAATTCTCTTTCTTGGTTCTTAGAACCAGGATGTTTTCAAACATGAATCAAACTTGTTTTCTTTAACAGGAAAACTCTTTAGAAAATCGTTTTTTTTTTTTAGGGGTAAAGCTCCTAAAGACGTGGTTCTGTTCATACATAACTCTTGTGACTGGTTCGTAACCTTGTTAGTTGTATGACTCACTCAGCAGGTGGCGCTACTGTGACAGACAGACATACAGACAGGTGGACGAAAGCATGGGCGGATGGACGGACGGAAGCAGGGACGGATGGAAGCATACACGGACGGACGGACGGATGGACAGACAGACAGACAGACAGACAGACAGACAGACAGACAGACAGACAGACAGACAGACAGACAGACAGACAGACAGACAGACAGACAGACAGACAGATGGACGGCTGGACAGATGGAAGCACGGATGGATGGACGGATGTGCGAACGGACGTACGCACGGATGGATGGAGGGACGCTTCGCCCTACTCATCATCGTTCCCTCCGTGGATATGCTGTGATTATTTTTCGTTAAACCATTACCAAAACATTATCTTCATAAGCGGGGGTGCGCACCACACAAGTTGGCTCATGGTCCAAATCCTAGTATGCTAATCGCTCCTCCACTAAAATTGAAGAAGGCTACAGCTAGCCCAACAAACGGGTATTGATTGATTTATTCATTGATTGACTGAAAAAAAAATATATGGAGTCCTCCCAGTTGCGTCGTAGCGCACAGTGAGTGAGTCCCACGTCCGGACAGAGCCAGGCCAAGCCTGTCGGCAGCTTGTTCCACAGAAACTTCTGTGGCGTATTAGAAAAATTATGACCATCAGAAACAGGCATGCGCCAAAGAAACTGGGTAAGTCCCGCTACACACAAGTTCCACTAAAAAGTAAGAAGGGAACGGCTAGCCGAACAAGTGGCTGCGAAGCGGTGGTGGCGAGTCGAAGACCCCGATTAAGTATACAATGAGAGAAGGGAGCGGAAAAGGCAACGGTGGCTGTGAGAAAGGTTTCGATCGAACCTGTCCCCGCTAAGATTCAACGTATATATATATATATATATATATATATATATATATATATATATATATATATATATATATATATATATAATTAACGGAAGCACTGCAATTACGGAGTATGGTAAATCGTGCCGCACAAGGCACGCATGTCACGATATGCAAGTTGCAGCCTGTCATACAATTGGGTCAGCTGATAGTGATTCTGGGGTAGCAATTAAATTAGCGAAACTACCAAGAGCGCCGTGAGCGTGACATGTAAGTCATGGCGAACATGATATATGACTGTCATGGCTAGTGCCACAACGGTCACTTACGGTTGTCTGCAGTTACATCACGCAACATTGGTGTACACCAAGTTAGCGAAACGGTCTCTAGTGCAACCGTGACCATGGCCTTTATGTGATACTGTACGTGCCATATGTGTCATGATTTTTTATGATATAACCTGCCATTTACATTTTTCACACAGGAAAGACACGTCACGCCAGTTTCGGTATACATTTAGGCAGTGAAACAGCCGAGAGCATCTTAAGAACGTGTCATGTAAATCACGCTGTACGTGATGCTTGTCATCATTTCCACTTTACAAACTGTAATTTATCTTTGTCGTACGCTCTTAACATGCCATACCGATCTTGGTGTGCATTAAATTAACGAAATGCCCGCAACGGCACAATAACGATGGCATGTAAATCATGCCGTTCACGACACGCATGCCATCATGATTTCCATGTTATAACCTATCGCTTATGCTCGTCGTGCGGGCACGTCACGCTATACCAATTATGGTATACATTCCTTTAAGGAAAGTTCCACGAGAGCTCGAACTCAGAGGCAGCTAGATAGATATCCACAAATCGGCAGAAGCTGGCTAAAACTTCGCAGTTCGAAACGCTAGAAGCAAAACGAAAAACGAAAACAACAACAAAAAAAGACATGCGAACTTACCGCACATTGCAACGCACAGAAGTATCACGTGCACGAATAAACTCATGGCTGCAGTGCCTTATACTGGCGTATATCCGAGCGTCCACTTGCGGTCAAAAACTTGGAGGCTGCTCCCGTGCCCGCGGTAAAAATACGAGAGTGTCCGCTCCTCCCAAGAGACAACGGCAGCGAAGAACCACAACGACTAAAGAAATGTCACCACGGAAAATGCCTGGCCATTTAATGACGCAATGAAAGTGAACGCCAGGTATACGTCTTTGGTCAGCGAGGGAAGGACAAAAGAGCGAAGAGATACAATGAAAGAAAGAAAGCAAAATGGAGTGCAGAAAGGTTTAAGCGACAATCAAGGGCCTGGGAACAGTCGCGAAGGTCTTCAGCTGGGAAAGACCTCTTGCTGTCGTTCTTACTTATTTTTATTTCGAACACACAAAGCCATGTCGGAGGAACTGTTGTAAAAGCTTGTATTTTTGTAGTTATTTTATTCTGCTTCTTATTACGCACTTCGTTTTTTCTTTCCACGCATCTTCCACTCTCCTCTTCCTGAGTCGTTTGTCCTTGGCGAATACTCGTCCCATGGTCAAAGCTGTGCAATGCAAGCTCCCGAATGGCCACAATTTCAAACGTAATCCTCGCAATGGGCATTTTGTATGTTTTTGCATACGCTCCGTTGTTTGAGGTGCCTATTTGCAAAAGCCTCGTAATCGTTATGAAAAGAACAAATGAGGTATATATAAAAAAAAATAAGGGGGAAGTGCTTGCACGAAAGATGCCACAGGGACCGTCTCTCGCACTATAATGTTACAGAGCGATGTACAAAGGACATATGATTACACCTGATGGAGACTACAGTGACTGCGAAAAACTCACTGCCAAGATCTGACGTTGTGCAGTCCATGACGCATGTTATGTAATAATCATCATTGCGCTAAGGAAGGCATGGTTCCACGCTTTATAATGATGATGGGCAGTAATATATATATATATATATATATATATATATAAGGGAAAGAAGTGTATACCTAAGGGCTCGTTTTTCCATGTTTTAACACAATATTAATGAGATCTAACAGACAGTAATGCCAAGAAATGTACAGGGGGAGTTATATATATATATATATATATATATATATATATATATATATATATATATATATATATATATATAAAGTGATCACACTGGCCAGCGAAATATATGCCATTTGCTTTGGCCTGTACATCAACATATCAATACGACGGGTGTTTAGAATGGCATAGTCGATGAAATTGGTTATATTTCGGTTTATATTTTGTGAAAGTTGCGTGCATGTGTATGTATGTATGTACGTATGTATGTATGTATGTATGTATGTATGTATGTATGTATGTATGTATGTATGTATGTATGTATGTATGTACGTATGTATGTATGTATGTATGTATGTATGTATGTATGTATGTATGTATGTATGTATGTATGTATGTATGTATGTATGTATGTATGTATGTATGTATGTATCCAATGAAGTCAAGGTACGTTTCTGCAAGCGTATGCTCATTTCCAATGAACTGACAGAAAACATTTAAGAATAGAATTTTTTTTCTTTACAGTGGGTTGTCGTTACACTGCAAAGTACTGTAACGCTACAATCATTCGTTGGTGCGCGTGATAGGTTATAAAGACGTTCGTTCTACCACGTGTAGTAGTGTGAGCTTCTACGGTGTGGCGCGTTATGCAAGGTCAATGACCGGATTTTTTTTTCTTCGTGTTTCAACGCATGTGCTGTTATTTTCTTTCCACTTGTTTTCTTTTTGTTCCTCCCGTAGCTTTTTGCACGCTTCCCTGAGATATCTTCACAATATCTTCACGTGTGTTTAGATCAAATCTCCAGCCGTGCATACAATTTTAGTTTACGCACATTTTCGTACGCACAGTCATTGTACACTTCCATTCGACGAAAAAAAATATTATACGTATTGATCTTCCATCTCCTGTCACGTTTTACTTGACCAGTATTGTCGTTGTTCAAACATTTTAAGTAACTTGCCAACAGCATCCAAACGTTATAGTTTTGCTGCACTTAACTTTTTATAACACACGCAACTTTACACTACGAAAACAACAATGAATTTTGGCCGACGCAAATGTTGCAAAAAGTACGTACTGTCGAGAAACTGGAAGGCTGCTAACATGCAGTTTCAGTTTTCTTGCAGCAATCAGTTTTCTCGAGTATGATGGAGTTCTTGCTTCGATTTTCGCACGAAAGGCGAGAAAAAAAGAAAACAACAGAAAATCTGCTTTCTATTTGAAAACTTCATTTCACGATGCAAGAAAAGATAAAATATTAGAGGGGTATGGTAGGGCAATCTGAAAACCTTGTTATAAATTATGTTGAAACATATGTTCCAGTAAAAACTAAATAGAAAACAATGAATTTTCACGGATAACGATACTTCATTTAAAGCGTCGTCTAGCAAGATTAAGACATGCAAGTCGTAATGTCAATGTTCTGCGGAGAGCCGAACCTAATGCAGTGAAGCTAGAACTTCACAATAAAATAAATGGAGCTGAGGACTTTGTCTGCACAATTACTTTACAAAATATGGTTAAGAATAACTCCAGAAAATTTTGGAGCTCGATTTCGCCGCATCAGTCGATTACTAATACATTAATTCTTGGCGAACCTCCCATTAGTGAGCCGCTGGTCATTGCCAACTCTTTTAATAAATATTTCACATCTGTAATTACTCAGAATAGTCGTGAAATTTTTTCTTGCAGTACATTTTGTGCCTCGCTTGTTTCTATCGAGGATGTGTTCATGTCTACAGAAGGTGTACTCAATTTGATTTTACATGTTGATTAAAAAAAGTCGTCTAGCCCAGGCAATGTTAACAACGTCCTGCTCCATCGTTATTCATTATGGACAAGCCAACACCTGTCTGTCAATTTCGAAAAATCATTGTGAACATCAACTGTACCATCATCATAGAATGGTGCACAAGTGCTTCCTCTACACAAATCAGGCAGTAAGCAATCTTTTTGAAAACTACAGGCTTATATCACTAACCTCGCACTCATGCAAACTACTGGAACATATCGTCTTTAAACACATAATCAATTGTCTTGAATCTAACAACGTCCTCTCCAGTGCACAACGTGGTTTTTGGCGTGGATTCAGTACCATCACTCAGCTGACAGAACTTACACATTATGTTTTTATCGCTCTTGACTTAGGCCTTCAGGTGGACGCATTATTCAATGACTTTTCAAAAGCATTCGACACCGTCATTCATTAAAAACTGCTATATAAGCTCAATATTTTGCTAAATAACCCCCTGCTTGTTGACTGGATTGGTAGTTTTCTTTCAAATCGTCACCAAGATGTATCTTTTAAAACATTACATTCTTCCGGAACACACGTGTCTTCAGGAGTGCCCCAGGGATCTGTTTCATGGTTGCTACTCTTCCTATTATACATTAATGACCTATCAGGCGTAGTTTCCCCTAAAATTCGTCTTTACGCTGATGATTGTGTCCTGTATCACGTAATCAATTCACCTGATGACCATCATACACACAACGCTTCATTCTTAAACTTTTGCACATGGTGTCAGAATTGACAGACGAACATTAATTTCCAAAAGACTGCTGCCATGTGTTTTTGCAAGCAGAAAACCCCATCAACGTTCAATTATTCGTTCAACAACTACGTTGTACGGCGGGTCCCACAATAGAAATATCTTGGCCTCTTTTTCACCACAAACTTATCATGGTCTCAACACATCGACACAGCTTGCAACGAGTCTTTAAAAAACTCGGATATTTTAACCGTTCAATACGTTTAGCCACAAAAGAAACAAAATTGTTAACATATAAAACTCTCGTAAGATTAATACTTGAACATGGTGCCACTGTATGGTACCCACACAAAATCGGTGACATAAAACACATTGAATCCATTCAGAAGAAAAGCCATTCCTTTCATACATAGACGCTATGACTGCGATTTCTCACCTACGTCCCACCTAATGCACCTTGGTTTATCTTCACTTTCTAGAACACGCGACATCGAGTCTCTCAAACTTTTTCACTTATTTTTCGATTCGCCACAATATTTATCGCACAACAACCACATAACCCATGCAAAAACAACATTCATTAGAAACAGCCATACACTCAACGTATCTGTGTTTCATCGTCGCACAAACTTCTTTAAATACACTTTTTCCCCGATGTATTGAAATGTGGCATACCATTCAAGGATACATTCACTCATTAGAAAAAGATAAAATTTTAAAGGCACTAAGAGACGTCTTCTAGCTTTACAATGTTTATATAATTATCTCTATACCCTTTTTCGTAATTATTTCATCTGTCATTGTTTGTATTAGCTTCAATTATTGTCAGTTTCTTTCTTGTATTTTTACTGTTCTGTACCCGCTCCTGCGTTAACCCTGTAACAGAACTGCAGTGCGTGAAAATAAATAAATAAATAAATAAATACCCCCCCCCCAAAAAAAAGTCGAATTTGTATTTTTAACGCCAAAACATTTCACTGTATCCTGAGATACAAACCCGCGGAACGCCGACGTGTAGCGGCCGCACGTAAAACATCGTTTTTTTTTTCAAATTACATTTTTTTAAAATAATATTTTCAACTTCAACATATTTTTTGTCAAAAACTAAAGAATCAATTTTGATGAAACTTTGTGCGCATGAGCTGCAACAAGTTAGAATGAATTGGAACTAAAAAAATTGCCGAGATCGTAGAAAGCGAAGCTGCCAAAAATTTAGAAAACAATACGCACGCTCTGTGGCGTTGTACATGTAGTAGTTTAATTTTTTTTTACAAAATCGTCATGAAAATGTAATATTATTTTTATTCTGATGTAAGCCACGAATATCTAGAATAAGAAGGCTGAACATCGTTGCATTCCTTTCGGTGCTTGCTGATAAAATGTATATTGAACAAGTGAACCTCCTTTGAAATTCGGGAGTGGGCCATAGGAAGGATAGGCAACCTAGACATAAAGAAAGGCTGTCACCTGATACCCAATGGAATTGTTTATGACGACGTAAAATTTGCTGGAAATACTTGAAGCTGTTTCTACATATTACGCTAAAACTGACATGTACCATCTACCCTACCATATACCCCCTTGATGCGGTGTTACAATAATACATGTTGTGTTGTGAAGCCTGTATTAGGAATGCGTGTGTTTGTAGAGCACAAATGTTACTTCAAGTGCATTTCCAAGCAGAACAAGTTATTTTATCTGTTTTTACAATCAGATGGTGTCACGCATGGCTGTGTGGTAGAATGCGAGTGGTTCTTAAGATAGAGAAAGGAAGAGAAAAGTGAGCCCCGTTATTGTCTGCTTCAGGAGCGACACCGCCACAGAGCTCACAAGGGATGGGGGTGAGAAGGGATAAAAGGGTGGAAGTAAAGGTATAGAAAAGAGGAAGAAGAAGCAACAACAAACTGAGGGGATAGGAGAGACAGGAAAGATGGAAGAACGGTCATTGGAGTCCGAGGACGGGGTACACTTGCGAGAGATGTTGTCGACGTCTGTAGATGGCGTAGAGCAGGTCCAGTAGGTTAGAGCTGCGCTGTCACCGAAGACCGTCGGCGACAGGAGGTGACGTAGGGCCAGCCCAGTCGGCCAGAGCTACGATGACGCTGAAGGTCGCGAGCGCGCGGGCGCACAACCGGTCGGCGCGAAATCCAGGGAGCGTAATACATGCTTGCCACGCAAACGGCCTGGTTTCTGCGTACCTCTAGCGGCGAATATCAGCGAACTTGGGACGGGCTACTGCCAGCAAAGCAGCTCAATTGAATTACGCGAACCCACCGCAAATTATTGTATAGTACGACTGCATCTGTGTTTTCTATACGAAGGAAACAAAACTCCTTAATTTTGTACTCGAAGGTCGTTGAGGCAGGCAAACTGGACCCAGCCTACACCAGTGAGATAATTGTATTTACTTAAACTTGCTGTGAAGAGTCCTGCCTTTCACGCGTTTCTCAAACGCTACATGGCGTCCGCGTGTTCAAGCAAGCGTCCGTCTCATTTTGGTTATTGCGTTGAGTTGTCTGAAAACTTGCGACGAATTTTGTTTACAAATGATTGCCAAGCCATGGAGGAAGGAAAGAACTCCTTCCGCCGTGATCTAAGCGCAGTTCAACTTACAGTGCACTAGAACAAAATATTTCAGTACACTATAAATGAAATTTTGCGGCCGTTATGCAAGGCTTATGCCACACAGCTATTACTTTTTACATTTACGATACACTCTATTATACGTGCCATACCGGGCTATTTCACACAGGGGCCGTAGGTTTTTCTTATTTGACAGAAAAAGTTGGGCAGAGACTGCTGCGCCGCGCGGCGCACGAGCCATTCCCACACAAAAACGGCTGCTACGCCGCACGGAAGTGACGTGTTGCATTTTCCGGTTAGGCGCTTTGTTTGAATAGTCGGGAGTGTCTAGCGGTACGTCTAGACATAACAATAAAAGCCGTTAAAATTACGTCCAAACGAAAGAGTGAACAAAAATGTTATTTAGGTTTCGCGTGACAACAATACAAAACAGGCTTGTTTGTCTTCTCAAACCGATCGGCAGCTGTGGCGTAATCTCACTGTCTAATCTGTAAGAAACCGGAAACTATTGACCATGTTTTTCTGCACTGTTGGGAAGGAGTTTATTTTTGGGACGTATTACAAAGGAAAATCAAAAAAGAGTTCCCGTTAGATCCTCATGGGTTCAGGTATTTGGATATAGAGAACGAGGATGGATTACCTTTCGATTTTATTTTTATGACTGCCTTGCACAGTATATGGCGCTCTAGAATGGCTGGATTTCATTGTGACCCAGACAGAAGACCAGCAAGAGAGTATTTTAAAGAAAGCATCTCAAGATTACTCGAGGTAGTAAGAACCGACGAATGTGTACCTTTATGGGTAGAAAGGGTAGAAGCCCTACTGATTATGAAGGAATTCTAGAACGTGATGTGCTATAGTAATGCTTGACGGGCTTAGTTATTTTCAAGTTTTTTGTATTGTTCGTTGTGAATTGTAATATATTAAGCGTAGCAACCCGTTTGTGAAGTTTACCGGAAATAAAAAAAAAAAGGCAGCTGTGGCGTAGTTGGTTAAAGCAACACATGAACTGGTGAGGTCGGTGGTTCAAGTCCCATTGCAGTTATCGATACTTTTTTCTTTTTTTTTGTTCACGCATGTATTGTTTTAACATTTGCGCCTCCTCATCAGCCCAACTTGCTGCTGGTGGTGGTCCCGTCCACAGGCCCTTTAATATTGGATCTTCGATGACGCTTGCAGGATTGACTATATTTATTATGACAAAGTGTTTTGCGAATTAGTGCTCTTAATCGGCGAGACGCAAAAAGCCACAAAAACTCGAATGCAGCTGGCTCCATTGGTTTCTTCAGCACAGGTGTCAGGAATGTTGATTTCCACGGTTTATCAAAGTCTTGATGACAGAAAGGTGCACTGCAACGTAGTCTTGGGCAACTTTTTTTATGTCACTCAGTGTACCATCACCTGACGAGGTAACCAGCAGGCCGCTTTCTTAAAAATACTGACGTGTCACCGCAATGTTCTCGACGATCAGCACTTGATAAACAATGCCCAAGGGCAAGTGCCGACGGCGTTAGCCCATCTAACTACTTGTCTGCGTTGCTCAAAAACACGCGCGGCCTGTGACAGCACGGGGGCATTCACGTAGCAACGGATGAGAACGGCCGTACGTGTTAGCACTTGACAAAACAGACGGCAATGCAGTAGCTCTGGCCTTCGGAGATCACAGGCTTCGTAAGAACATTACAATAAAGTTGTTTCCATCCATCGTATGAACACTTCACCGACGCACTGGGGTTTCATGCATGTGCGTCCGGTCAGTCACACGTGAACCGTGCGAAAGCATTTATTTCATCGTCGACCTTGTCCTTCGCGACAAGCAAAACTCGGCAGCAAGAACACTTTCTCCTTTGACAACACCACGCTTGGCATTGCAATCTAGAAAATGCAGTACGTCCAACGACTGTAATCCGCACATCATACTGAGAAACTTTATGGCGCACACACTCAGATGAAGCTGCGGCGCGGTGGATGGCCGCGCTAGCTCCAACCACCAGGTTCAACTAAGCATCCAGCAATCACACGAAGCAGCGACGACACTCCAGTCCTCCTTGGGAGTGGCCTAGGCCATGGCCACGATTTCATCGGAGTTTTCACCATCAACACATCGCAGGCGGCTACTATCTCGCAGTGTTTACCTTTTGCAGCCGCAGCGCCCCCTGTATTCAAAATACTTGTACTATGTATTTAAATAACAAACCTAAGCTAATTGACTCGTTAACATTTGCTTAGTAAAAATTTTGTAGGTTTAACGCATTACGCACGATTAATTTACACATTTAACTAGCTTTAGGTAATAAGTTTTTAAGTGACGTCACTTTTGTGCGGCGCAGAAGCCACTCTGTCACATTTTGTGTGGGGATGGCTGCTGCGCCGCGCGGTGCAGAAGACGCTGCCTTTTAAAAAAAGTTGTACACAAGTATTCCGCTGATAGGTGGAGAGCGGCTGGCTTTCTAAAAAAAACTGTTTTTAAACTTAATAATTACGAACGGCGTGGCCTTCATGATTTCAAATTACTAGCGCCTGTCAAGAAGGTGATTTGAGTGAATATTTTTATGATGTCGATAGCGCCACTTTTGTACGCATTCAAAAGTTGCTGCTCCGGTCGTGGCTGCCAACCGTTTCATGGCGGCTTTGTTGCTGCGGCTGTGTGTGTCGCCGCGCTCTCCGTAGCCATATCGCGTTTATTCAGCGAGGAGTCGCCATCACTTGTCATTGCCAGAGAGAAATTAAGTAGGTAAACACGTAAACGCCTCGCGATGGCGCAAGACACGGAGGCCATCACCTGCAACATCAGGGGATGCCCGAACGAGTTCGGCCTGAGCGATCCCTCGCACCTGCTCTACGTTTGCACGGCGGACGACATCCAGTGCCAGGCATGGCTCGCCGTCATCCCGAAGGTTTCGCTCACAGACGTGGGCGAGAGGCTGTGCGTGTGTTCGCTGCACTTCGCGGACGGCGTCAACGTGAGCGGCGACATCGTACCTACCATCTTCCCACCTGTGCCCGTAGCGGCGCCCGTTGCTCCAGCTAGCGTCCCCACGCCACCGCCGAGCACTTCGATGGTCGGCGGACTCACTCTGGTCGGGCCGGCGGTGAAGATTAAGGAGGAGCCAGTTGACGTAAGTGCGCGCCTACCGTGCCGTGGGAAGTGTGCAGTGCTGAAGAATGGCGTGGTTGTGTTGTGGTACGGCTGTTCCGCCATGTCTGACGCGAGGGTTCTGGAGCCTTGCCATTGAAAAGTGAGAGGGTGGCGACGTGCGCGTTTGGAAGCTTAGCTCCGCATTTCACTGCGTTCATTGGAGACGCGTCCTCTAATACACGCCGTCTTCAATGATCCCTGATGCGGAATAATGAAAGAAATAAACGGTGCAATGAAGGAAAATGACGTTTGTTTACCGTAACGGGCATGGTGCTAAAAAAAAAAGTTGTCAGAACAAACACTGCGCCTCGCAATTTATGGAGCCGCATTGCGAGGTCGTAGCGCGCGATGTTCTACATAAAATCCAGATGAAAAAATGGGGAATTTTCACGAGTGGCTGGTTTCCTCGTTAGACAAAACCAAATCATTCCGACAGACAGTTATGCCATTGAAAACATAGGGGCCGAAAATTGTTGTCATTAAGCGTCGTGTGCTAATAATAACGCAAATTATCGGGAACCGATATGAACGACAATCTAGTCGAAATGGTAGCATTTGACCACTCCACACAGGCGGATGACGCGAAACGATTAAAGTAGTTCAGCTGCTAGACAAATCGGCCACCAAGGATGGCCGATTTGTCTAGCAGCTGTTCTAGAATGAGGTGACTCTTGTAGCGTTTGTATTTCGTATAGCTTGCCGGTCGGTTATTGAGACGGCTATTGGCATGGAGCTTGTTGGTCGTTCGCTGGAGTCCCTAGACAGAGAACCAGCGTGCACATGGGCACACTAACACTCGTTCAACGTTGACAGTGCTGAGCACAGTATTCGCCATAGATTTAAGAATGTGTGAAGCCATGGCTACTTGGTGTTTCACTAAAACTGCATCGCTTTTGTAAGTACCATGTACTGTACTCTTGGAATGAAACAGGACAACTTAGGGCTAAGTAATGCACCTATTTTAGTTTCCACCGTCCTTAGTTCGAGTCTTACCAACATAATTTGGACAGGAATATGTATAGTACGGTCCACTGTTATAGGGTACATGCAAGCTTTTGACTGGCAAGCCGTGCGGCACTGACTGGGGGCGAGATTTCTAAATTCAGCGCACGTGCATAGAATCGTAAGGGTGGTACGTGCCCAGTTTTGTCTGCCACTTCTCGAAAGTGGTGAAAGTGTTTCTGGGGGGGGGGGGGGTTTGCTGTGCAACTGATCTGTAACTCTGCCTGCTGCCTCTCGGATTTCCAGTGAGCACAAAAAATGCATGGTTTTACTTTTATTTATTGCTGCCGTTTTTTGCAAGCTCTCATTTTAAGCCCGTCATATTTTTTATACTGCTCACTGCAGATGGCCGCTTTTAATAACAGATAAGGTTGAGATCTGGCGTAGGGAAATTCTAAGCTCCCTCTCATGACCATGGGATATCGGCTTATTAAAGAAGGGAAAGGCCGAGTTGGTATCGCTTGTGTTACAGAGCTAAAATGAAAAGTGGAAAGTGTCATGGCTCGCTAGCACATGCCAAGTGTATGGGCAGATAAGTTAAACCCCACTTTCGAATATCTTATGCATGGCTCACGTTTCATAGGAGGTATTCACTGAGCTGTTTCTACCTTGTGGTAAAGAGGGAGGGGAACAACATAATGCGCTATGAAGGCTTTCATCAGGGCTCGCGAGTTTGCAACTGTTGTCATACTCTCTGGTCGCTGGCGTGCGTGTAAAAATGCTTTTTTTAAAATTAAGTTATTTGCCAGATGCGCTTAAGAAATATCACCAGCTTGTTTGTGAGCACCGAAGGTTTAACCCACATGACACAGGTTACGAGGGGAAATGGGTTGGGAAAAAAAGATGATTTCAACTTATTTCCATCTCGTTCACTCACTCCAACATCGCGGCAGCACCCTTCGTCATCGCATAAGCGCGTACAACGTAAGTATTTGCATTTATACGGCAGTGCATCGACTACAGAGCAGATGAGTGTAACGGCCCTTTAAGGTGGTAGGTCACCACCTTCAAAAACGCAATTTTTGAAAAAAAAAATTTTTTTCGTATTTCATATTTTTAAGCATTCTGTCCATTCAAGAATGGTTGCAAAAAAAAAAAGTTGGTACCTTGAGTCGTTTGAATGTTATGACAATTTTTCCGACCCCTACTGGACGCATCTGAAACCGAAACTGAAGGTTTTCGATTCCACAAGACTTTTTTGCATGCATATTACATAAGGCTAAGGTGTCTAAATACAATTTAAAACCTGTGGAATGTGACATTTTTAATTCATTTTAAAATACTACTACCCAGCGGCAGCAGTCAACTGGTCATGGTACGTGCATTTTCGTTTGGCAGTCGGTGTTGTTTTGTTTGCCGTTTCGAGTTCTTGGACATAGTTCTCGCTTTTAAAGGAGAAAGTTATGGTACTTCATGAAACATGGCAAAGTATAGGACAAAAAAGAAGCATTAACTCAAATTAGGGATTGAATCTACCAAGCGTGCATCCACTGTGGAGTGCGGGGATCAGAGTCAGCAAGGAATACAAAACAACCTGGGAAAAAATATGTGCCTTGTCTTGCTCAAAAGAAGCTTGTGCCACTTCAAAAGAGGTCGCAAGATATAAGCGTGGGGAATTTAAGGCATATCGAACGCTTCCTTGTTACATGGACATACGGGTGAAATCTTGAAAGCCATTTTTCTCGAAAGCGATTTTCCGTATCGTAAACAATGATAGCTTTCCCTGTGACTAATATTTTCGCATAAAGTTTTTCATGCTGCTTCTGAATAGGTGGAACTGTGCATTCAAGCAAATATATTGAAAACAAGCGGCAACTTTTTGTACTATGGTAAACTGCATGCAAATCAAACCTGCGAAATATCAACATTTTCAGTCCTTTTATACCACCGCACCAAAGCTGAAAGATATGACGATCATTGAAGGTTAGATGCACAGAACATTGCTTTCACTTTGCAGCTGCCAACGCCCGTTTGCATCGCATGAAAAGTTTTATAGTTATGACTGTTGGTGTAACATGCATATTTTGGAACATTTTGATTTTTATAAATTTATTTTCTTGCATTTTAGCTATTTCATCATCTTAAACTTGGAACTTACCCAAGCCCTACCATCTAAAACTATAATTATAACTTTTGGACTACAACAGCAAAACTGTTTCTTGAAGGTGGTGACCTACCTTGAAGGGACACTAATTTTAAATAACAATTTATGTCAGAGTGAAAGCTCCGTGTATGATAACATCTAAAAGGACAATATTATCAACAGTAGTGCCCTACTTACCGAAACAAATGAGGACAAATGCGCCACGAGTAGAACATTTGCAATATGATCCTGATAGTTACCACCTCTAATTAATCACTAGTAATTGAACTAGCTGCACTAAATAAAGAACCTTCCATGCATGAAGAAACATAATAAAATGCTGCTTGTTTATTTGTTTGATTCATGAAAAAAAAAAATGCGCCAGACATTACTATGGGGAATGGCGTGAGTGGTTCAAAAGCTTGATCGGTCGCGCTATTTAGCGGGGCCCAGTTCAACCGAAGCACGCCAGCCATCTCTGAAACCATGGCAGGAAATTGTTCAGTGGCCGTTGTTGCTGCCAGTGGCTCCCATTACTTTTGTTGTGCTGCTACTAGTTTCGGTGGCCGTGCTGTACAGATAGGTAACGTATCTGGCACAAAAGTAACATTAAAAGGTTTCTGGACTGCTATTTCTATAATAAACATCGACCTAATATTTGCCTTTAAAGTCGTTTTCAGTGCTGATTTGCCACTTTTACATCTAGATCACAAGGGCCATTTTGGCACATAGTTCGTTGCGCTGGCCGTCGCCACTGACCGTTACTGCTCTCTTTTAAAATAAGAAAAAAGTAGAATAAATTTTAAAAAATATTCAGTGAAGAATGATATTTGAATGCGGGTACACTGCATGGCAATGCAGTATTCTACCACTGAGCCACGCTGGGGCTTGGAAATGTGTCACAGAGACCCAAGGGAGGCTTCATGTTGGGGGGAAAAAATCACGTTAACTTGTGTAATATAGCGTTTCATAAAAGTGAATCACACATCGTGTATTGCATAACGAGTGGGTCGTTGAGAGCTTCCTTACAAAAGACTGCATGATTCCTCATTATCAGTCACAGCATTGACGAAGTGTGCATAATACCTTACAGGTGCGTAGCTGGCAGTTTGCTTCTCTGCAGATGGAATAATGGTGTAGCTGGTGCTTCCCTGCTTCTTTAAAATTACGATTTAAGATGTAGTGGGTGTTATGCTAGTGTACCTATTTTAGTATCCCCCAGGGTGTTTAGACAAGGCTCTTCCAGCTGTCGCTGTGAGTGTGCTGAGTGTGCTGTGCGTTCTTTGCAGACCTGGCTGTTTTTTTTTTGACGCGACCATCACTGATGACTGGCTAGTTGATAGTTTCCGAAAGCACGAACCACATGAAGCGCAAAGAACGATTCAGGACGAACGCTGACTTTGTAGTAACTTTGAGGGCGCTGCCACTGCACCTTCACATGACTAGAAGACCACAATGTTATTGAGTTGCTTTTGTTCACTATTAGTCTACAGCCTTAAACTGTGGTGCCTCTCATGGCTTATCATAGTTTCGCACTGGCAAACTCCATAAGCAAAGCATTCTTTTAACTGGATGGCTGTTAACATTGATCAATGATTATGCATTGGGAGCCAGTCAGCCATTCCTGTGTTTGTTTTAGGGCTGCTGACAATATTTACAGCCATGCAAAGGTGAAAGTTTTCTCTAGTTATAAACAGTGGCAATACAAACGTTTTTAGGCGAAGATATAGAAGGGTGGAAAAAGAAAGGTGAAGTCTGCACCGAGCCACACAATACTTGAAGCTACACTGGACAGTCCTAAAGTGAATTCCAGTTGCTTTTATGTCATTGCTAGGCTTTAGCTAGCTGATGCTAAGTTTCTTCTAGATTGATTCTCAGCGCTGAGAGGTTCAAGTCAAACCACACACATGACGTATATGTCCAAACTTCGTGGATGTGTCACTTATTGAAATCTTCAGCCTCTTCTAGCATAATAATCTCTTCCCTTTTTTTTTCTTGCCACAGGACTATGAGCATGAGGCACAGGCGTTGCCCAACATGGAAGGCAGTGAACACTTTGACAGCTCTGCTGAATGTGAGGTAAGCCTCCTGACGAAATGCAGATGGCTCGATAGGTGTCTTTTCATGGGTCTGTTTATTATTATTATTACTTTTTGTGCTCTTGTAACACTACTGAGCTGGTAGCGCTGCCATTGTGGTTTTATGAACATAATCTAGAAGTAAAAATGTGCAGGCTTAGATTTATGTGTATAGACTACGTGAGGCTAGTTGTCAATGTAGGTAGTTAATTTTCTTTCTCCAGTATGTGCGAATGTGGCTTATGCTGTGAGCCACCATTTGTTTGCTTCATTTATGTAAGGCTGCCAGCTGCTTAACGACAGGAAGGAAGTGCGAGGGAAGCACAGACTCAGTAGTTTGATCTATCAAGTAAAAAGAAACATGGAGCTTCAATGAAATTTTAGCATCTAAATATAGCACGATTTGTCTTAGAGGCAACACAGCAATAGCTGATGATCTATGCCTCCGTCGGATGCCTGCTGCTACCTCTTGGCATTACGAACAGCGATGTTTGATGTTCATTCAAGTGAGACTGTCGCCAGGAGTTGCCCGACACTGAGAGACATAATGCACAGTTTTTTCTTATTTGAACCTATTGTAGGCTCAAATGACCCTTGCAGGAGTATTTGCAGAAATAAAGGAAAGAAAAATTATGAACAGAAATAGTGGTTTGCACTTCAGTAACAAATGATTCTACGGTATTACAACTAGGAGCATTATCAGGTAACTCATTCTAGTGAGAGACTGCTGAGGGAAAAGGATGTGTTGGTGCGATTCGAAGGCTGCCTGATTGTTTCACTGTGGTTAGTTCTTGATGAGTGTAGGAGAGGATGAAGTAGATAATCTGCCTTTAGAATTTCGAGATGATCGTGTTATGGAAGGTAAACAAATTTAAGCTTTGAAACTATTCTTCTCTGTGAAAATACTTCTAGATGTACTTCTGCGAGTAATTCAGAGACTTCAGATTCGGATAATCTTAAATTATATGTACGGTGTGTTTTACAATTAAAGGAAATATCTGAGCGCATAACATCAAGATGCGGCATGCGCCGCAGTCGTGCTCAGGCAGCAGCTTGCACGTGCGCAGACATTTGAGGGGCGTAGTGTTGAAATGCGCTGTCTACTATAGCGGTGCATGATTGCAGCTCTGGCCACAATGTGCAACATGTGCTTCGAGATTTTTCCTAAGTATGGACCATTATATGTACATAGACAATGCACATGGTTGGAATCTACGAAACGACAATGATGGGAAGTGATTGAAAGTGGGGCGTTGTGAAACATAAAGCTTGGCATGATTCAAGGTTTCTTCAGTTATTTCTTTATGGGACAAAAGTGCGCATGTAGCGCTAGATTTGCAAGGAGGTGAATTCTCACTTTGCCAGGAATACAGTAAGGTATAATAAGCAGTTTCAGCCTCTGGTATTTCTTGCAACCTACACATTTAGCAGCTAATTCAGAAGGGTTTTGTATCAACAGCTCATAACATTGCATTTGCCCTGAGACCTGTGTGCCGGAGGTTTTTGTTCCCAGTGGTACTAAACATACTGTATGAAAGGAAAATCAGAGAGAGAGATAGAGATAGACCAATCTTAGTCCTTTGCAGCTGTGTGCCAGGCCTAAGCTGACTTATGAAACTGTTCGCTTTGGTCACGTGTCGGGAACACCCACCGCAGTGGTCTAGTCGTTGTGTGCGACTAATGACCTGAAGGATATAATCCCGGCTGCTGCGGCCATGTTTTGACGAAGCGGAAATGCTAGAGGCCCGTGTACTCGGATTAAGGTGCACGTTAGAGAACAGTGGATGGTTAAAATTTTTGGAGCGCTTCACTACAGCAGAAAACATCTAACCCCAACAAATATATAATAATACATGTCCAAAAGTATTCAATATAGGCACTGATTAATTGCTTGCATTATCTTTCAGCAGTGTTTTTAAACTGCGAGTTAAAGTGTTGCTTTTCTTTTTGTCTTAGGAAGAAAATGACATGTTTTATAGGAGCAGTGACACCAAATTTTAAACTCGAGATGTGGCATTCATTCGATTGCTTGGTACGCATGAGTTTTTTTAGCGATGATTTGTGTCTGTAAGTAGAAGTTATTCTATTTCAAGCGCAAAGAACGTTCAAGGCTCATCAGCGCGTTCCCAACCATAAGACATTGACAGTATTTTGACATGTTCAGCAAGCATCTAGGCCATGCCTCATGCGCCTAGTGATAATGTGATAATCGTTGAGCAGCGATGTTGTCGACAATTTTAGTGTTGTCATTGCGGTGCCTACATGTGGTACCATCTGGCAGTAACGCCTGGCTGCCTAGCAATGGCTTCACTAGCTTTGTTTCGCTTGCTTTTTGGAGTGCGTTCGTGTGAATCCTGCAGTTTCGTTCTGCTGCTCTGAGTGATTTGTCGTGGAGTCGTCAGCGCGAATGTGATTATTTGAAGCTACAGTCATTGCAGACGAGCGACACACATGCAGCGTTCTTATGTCTTAGCAGCCAGCGTGGCCCAGGTGTGCATCTCCAGCTGCCTTGTCCTTGCTAGGTCTGGCGTCAATTTCGAAATCATTGCTCAGAAGAGGATATGCCCGAAAACGATTCGCCGTGCCGTCAATATCCGCGATTCCATATTCCTCAGTGTTTTCGTCGTCTGTTGTGGAGGCTGATGACGGCGTCGATGACGATGAGGATGGGGAAGACATGGCTATACACATGCTCGTCGAGCAGACAAAGTGTCAACTGAAGATCGTCCCACCGTTTCGTGGGGCCGCCTGATCAGATGGTTGCGAACAGCGGGAGTTGAGCGCTGCAAGCGCTGAAAGTCTGTGTGCTTTGCAGTGGTATTGAATTGGGTTCGATACTGGTGATACTAATTGATGTTATATATATTAATTTGTCTCTCTGTTGCATTATTAGTACCGAATTGTTACTAGGGGATCGATAACTACGCATTGACGCAAAAAATGCGACGTGTAAAGTTGGTGTCACTGCTCCTTTAAACACAATCGTGAGGTTCTAGCATGCAGCTTGTAGTGTGTACTGCTTACCAAATCGGGAGATTTGCATCCTGTGTATACTATAGATGAATATTTCCTGAGTTTAGTGAGTCTAATGATTACTTCGGTGCGATGCGTCACCTTAGGATGGTCATTTGACGTTCTTAGACAACAGCATTTCAGAAAACATTGCCCTTGGTAACCGTGGAGGCATTGCTTTCACTGGTGATGGCCTAAAACATGTTGCATGCTGTTGGGGACTGAACTGTAAATATTTTCAAGATTTTAAGAATATCTCGTTCACAGTGTTTAATCTTGGCTTTGGTTGCTTTCTCCAATCCTTACAGCGGTCTCAATTATTCTCAGCTGTTTCTTACCAATGAGCCCATAGTAATGGAGCTAGAATTGGTACGCATTTGATGACATCACCAGTGTGAGTCTTCTTCTGTAACAGTCATGCTGAAAAATCTGGCTGGTGGTATCCATGCCAGTCAAGGCATCTTTAGTGGTAATACGCTGATGAAGGTGGCCCACTTTTTTTTGCTAACCGCAGTTTTTTTCTTCAGGTGCTTCACATGCTGCATGTATTTCAGAGTGATAGTTTGAGCTTAGTTACATGCAAATGTATCTTAGAAGCTCAGCCAAAATTCTTCAGAAACACGGGTCAGCAGGATCTAAAATGCTGTAGGTTATGTGAAGAGGTCCTTCACATACACTACAGTGCACAGGCATAAATATGTGTTGATGAAAGCACTCTTGGCTTCTAAAGCAGGCTGTCGTGCATATGTATTAATTCATAAAAGCTAACGAAGTTGGGTTTCTGTGTATTTGCACTGGCACACTACAAATCTGGGTATGTTTCATCCTTCTTGCCATGATGTAGAAGCAGTGCGATAGAGTTCCTCTGCCTACTGAACCTCCCATTTAGGTGTTGTGTATTCCACAGTTCTTCGAGCGAGTGCTTCTCAACAGAGGGAGTTCTAGCCCTTTCGGCTCTGGCGTCGTCAATTGACACCACACAAAATTGTCCCTTGCATTTCGGAAATGAAACCAATATATCGAATTATTGGGAAAGTATTTCTTCAATGACCTCCACTGCGATCGACACCACCATTGGGGCAGTTTTCTGGAGTTGAGAGCCGCAAAGAATAAGCTGGACTGAAGTCATAGGAGATGCCGAGGCGGGCAAGCTGAGGTGAGTCGGCGCCATTTTCGAGATGGGGTCCTGAAGTTGGTTCCATGATTTCCACACCTATAAATATGACATTGGTTCAATTTCACATAGTCTAGTAAGCAGCTGAAATAAAAAAGCAATTAGTCTCTCATTTCATCATCACTAAGCCATGATGACCTTTTCGAAGTCATGCTTGTAACTCTGTACATAGTCACACCAATCACGCAATTTTTTGCTTGTGGTCTTCTGATGTCCTAACTATTAGGAAAATAGGTTCTAAAAAGTCTCTATTCAGAAATAAAAATACAGGGCTGAAAGGGCTTGGTACCACATGTATTCTGACAGGTACTACTTCTCACCACTGCTTTATGAAGAGCTGCTTCCGGAAGATGTGCTCTTCATGCGCATAGGTGTGCAGAGCAGGAAGAGTAAACTGGAGCTGTTAAACAAAAAGATCTTAGAAAGGGGAAGGATTGAGAACTGGTTTAGTTAGTAACGATTTATGGCTGGTAGAGGCAGGACTAAGAAAGAGTATACACAACACGAGCGCTGACTTTCAGCCAAAAATTTTTATTGAAAGAACATCTTAATTGCTAAAACTGCACACACTTTTACAAGGCAAGAAAGCTCCTGACAACACACTTCAGGTAAAAGTCACCGGTCGTGTTGTGTCTCGTCTTACTTAATCATTGTTCTTTTGTGCTCTTTTGCCTCTACCAACCAATAAAGGGGAATTCACTGCCTATCCAATCCATGATTCCCCCCCCCCCCCCCCGTTGGAAAAGTACTTTTTAAAGGGATTCAAAAGTCCAGGGATTGTTTTCTTTCTACGAGCACCTTTTAATGTCTCAATG